GCAGGAGACCCCAGTTCAATTCCTGGGTTGGGAAGATCCACTGGAGAAGGGATAGGCTATTCACTCCAGTATTCTTGGGCTTCCTTTGTGGCTCAGCTGGAAAAGATTCCACCTGCAATGTGGGAGATCTGGGTTCGATCCCTGGGCTGGGAAGATCCCCTGGAGAAGGAAAAGTCTACCCATTCCAGTATTCTGGCCTAGAGAATTCCATGGGCTGTATAGTCCATGGAGTCACAAAGAGTCGGACACCACTGAGCGACTTTCACTACACCACATAGATTCACTATTGATTTTTAATTAATGATAATATCTTGTATTTAAATAGTTACCATCCCCAAGGAAATCTGAGTGCTTTATAGTTAATCAGTTTCAATTTATCTTCATAGCATCTGGTGGATTGTACAGATTAGGTATTCGAATCACATTTTAAGGAGGAAAAACATAATCAGAAAAGTTAAATTGTTACTTGTGGAGATTTCAGAATGCTAATATTAGAATTATCAATTAAAACCTGGTAGTCTTGACTTATAATTCTGACTGTTTCCCCAAAACATCTGGTCATTTGGGTCAATTCTGATTATTCCTTAGGAAAAAAGGAGTCAAACACTTGAATTGCTATGATTGACAAAAGTTTACATTTCTTCTTATTATTTTGGTGGTATATAATAATTGTGTTCAAGATATTTTTGTTTATGCATTTTTTAGTGGCCTATGTTAGTGTATTTGGAATGCTCTTAAGTCATGTGCGTTAGAAGTTTATCTCCTGGTAAGGGATAGATGTTGCAAAGAGTCGTTCATAACATAGCAACTGAACAACAACAGAACGGGATAGATATAAAATTTAAATTCTGATATTAGATAAGTATGATTTTTCAAAGACGAGGTATCTCTATCACCTACCAGCAGTGTCTTAGTTGGCCAAAAAAAAAAAATCTCCCCAACACAAGCTCGTTCCAGACACTAACTCATTGTCCATACGGGAGGTCATCATCATTCTTTCAGTCACCCATTCTTCTAGCCTTAAAAATGGGAGCCTGGTGTCTCCCCTTTTTTTGATAGCTCAGTTGGTAAGGAATCCGCCTGCAATGCGGGAGACCTGAGTTTGATCCCGGAATTGGGAAGATCGCCTAGAGAAGGGAAAGGCTACCCACTCCAGTATTCTGGACTGGAGAATTCCATGGACTGTATAAACCATGGGGTCACAAAGAGTGGAACACAACTGAGCGACTTTCACTTTTCACTGTGGAGAATAAAGCCAAGTTGAAACATCTCTCATAACTTAAATGCAATTAAGAAACAGCACATGCAGGGGAAAACTTAAAGAGGACTTGTCTTCATGAGAACTTCAAGTAGTTCTCCTTTAAATTTAGTTCAAAATGTACTATAAAGACTTATGGGATTTTTTTCTGCTTGTTGCGTAGATTTATGTATTTAGGAAAAGGCTACCAGGAATATATTCCCAGAAAATGATTTAAGCTCGAGTAAATGATCTGATTTCTGGTCTTTCAAAGGGAATCAACAAAAAAGACTAGGATTCTATGAAATGAGTGGATTTCCCTGGTGAAACCAGCCCCCCATTGCTGCCCTTATCCAGAATGAACCTGTTTCAGACCATAATGGTCTTGTGATTAGTGTGAATGAATGCCCCTCACCACCCTTGTGACTCAACTGGTTAAGAATCTGCCCACAATGCAGGAGACCCCAGTTCAATTCCTGGGTTGGGAAGATCCACTGGAGAAGGGATAGGCTATTCACTCCAGTATTCTTGGGCTTCCTTTGTGGCTCAGCTGGAAAAGATTCCACCTGCAATGTGGGAGATCTGGGTTCGATCCCTGGGCTGGGAAGATCCCCTGGAGAAGGAAAAGTCTACCCATTCCAGTATTCTGGCCTAGAGAATTCCATGGGCTGTATAGTCCATGGAGTCACAAAGAGTCGGACACCACTGAGCGACTTTCACTACACCACATAGATTCACTATTGATTTTTAATTAATGATAATATCTTGTATTTAAATAGTTACCATCCCCAAGGAAATCTGAGTGCTTTATAGTTAATCAGTTTCAATTTATCTTCATAGCATCTGGTGGATTGTACAGATTAGGTATTCGAATCACATTTTAAGGAGGAAAAACATAATCAGAAAAGTTAAATTGTTACTTGTGGAGATTTCAGAATGCTAATATTAGAATTATCAATTAAAACCTGGTAGTCTTGACTTATAATTCTGACTGTTTCCCCAAAACATCTGGTCATTTGGGTCAATTCTGATTATTCCTTAGGAAAAAAGGAGTCAAACACTTGAATTGCTATGATTGACAAAAGTTTACATTTCTTCTTATTATTTTGGTGGTATATAATAATTGTGTTCAAGATATTTTTGTTTATGCATTTTTTAGTGGCCTATGTTAGTGTATTTGGAATGCTCTTAAGTCATGTGCGTTAGAAGTTTATCTCCTGGTAAGGGATAGATGTTGCAAAGAGTCGTTCATAACATAGCAACTGAACAACAACAGAACGGGATAGATATAAAATTTAAATTCTGATATTAGATAAGTATGATTTTTCAAAGACGAGGTATCTCTATCACCTACCAGCAGTGTCTTAGTTGGCCAAAAAAAAAAAATCTCCCCAACACAAGCTCGTTCCAGACACTAACTCATTGTCCATACGGGAGGTCATCATCATTCTTTCAGTCACCCATTCTTCTAGCCTTAAAAATGGGAGCCTGGTGTCTCCCCTTTTTGCGTTTACAATTTCTGTCAGCTTTTCCTCTGGCCTGTTTATTCCTTTGTTTCTCTGTGTTCTGCTGCTGACACTCGGCTCCTCACGTAAATGCGGTAAACTCCTTATTTGTCCCCTCCTTCTGTTGTCTGTTCCTCAACCCTTCTTAGGTCAATTTCCCTAATAAATTTCCCATTATTTTTGAAATTATGAATTATTTGGGTGCATAAAAGCATATAGAATAATACATTGAACATTCACATCCCCACCACCAAGCTTAAAAAAACACGATACTAAAGATACAGTAGAAAGCCCTCTTTGAAGCCTCTCTCCAATTTAATCCCCCATTATCATGAATTTAATGGTCATTATTCCCATGCACGTTTTAACATTTTTACCATGTATATATCCATACCCATAAAAAATGTATAGTATTTCTTCACTCCAATCAATTATATTTCTAAAATTTTCATTTGGTATATGGCTTTGAGATTTCCACTATTGCTTCAAGATTTGTAGTGCATGTGACTTTGTTACCTTCTGTTTCATTGCTATGATCCTTTGGATCACAGTTTATCCATTCTTTTCAGGATGGACATTGAGATTGGTTGTGATTTTTTTCTGCAAATACACACAAACATATAAAACATTTTTAACATGTTTCCTTTTTCATATTGATGAGAGTTTTCTAGGACATGCACCCAAGATTCTAAATGCTGGGAGGTGGTAGAATCTTCTCATTTTCAAATTTTGGTTAGAAGTGATTGTGTCAACTGACACATCCTCCTTATGTGCCATATTCCATTTTAAGAAAGACTTCATTGGCCTCTCCAACTTTCAATGGAATTTCAGATTCCTCTAAGAGAAACTCCTTCTCACTTTTCTATCTGAAGGGCCCTCTCCACCAGGGACTCCTTTTTGTGACGGGTCACAGGTTCCAAAGCTTTTAGACTATACGTTGAAATGTATATGTGTGGAAAATGCAGGGTGTGCTGGGATCTCGGGTGGACGGTGGAGATGGAGCCGTGCATCAGGGCACCACATGTACAGACAGCCAGTTTGCCATGCCCGAGGCTCCTGTGTTATCTTGTTTACTTTGCCGAGAGTCTGTCTCAGAAATGTGTGGTCATCTGTTCACTGTATAGCAGCCAGAGCCCTCTGGAGCCCGCCTGCCTGGGTCTGAATCCCTGCTCCAGTGCTGCCACCAGTCTGCGCTTGAGCAACTTGTTGTAAAGTGGGGGACATGCTGGTGCTTGCTTCGTAAGGGTGTGGTGAGAACTGAATGAAATGATATAAGTAAAGCCCTCAAGGAAAGAAAGTGAAAGTAAAAGTCGCTCAGTCGTGTCTGACTCTTTGTGACACCATGGACGATACAGTCCATGGGATTCTCCAGGCCAAAATACTGGAATGGGTAACCTTTCCCTTCTCCAGGGGATCGTCCCAATCCAGGGATCGAACCCAGGTCTCCTGCATTGCAGGCAGATTCTTTACCAGCTGAGCCACAAAGGAAGCCCAGAAGCTCTCAAGAAGGCGCTTAACAAGTATTTGTTGAATTGTTGAGGGGAGGAAAAATAGCAGAAGGTTCGCTCATACCTCCTTTGTGTCATCGTTTTAGAAGCTGTGGAGATGGCAGTGAGCTTGACATCTGTTTGACAAATCCAGTGGGCAACACAGACCAAGCCCCTAACACATTGCTTGGCTCACAGTGAGCACTCAGGAAATATACGCCGACTGTATAAATGAACCTGATGGTTTCCTGGTGTTAGTGTTAGTGTCTCTCAGTCGTGTCTGACTCTTTGCGACCCCATGGACTGTAGCCCACCAGGCTTCTCTGTCCATGGAATTCTCCAGGCAAGAGTACTCGAGTGGGTTGCCATTCCCTTGTCCAGGGTGTCTTCCTGACCCAGGGATCAAACCCAGGTCTCCTGCATTGCATGCCGATTTGTTATTGTCTGAACCACCAGGGAAGCCTTGATGGTTCTCCTAAGGCATCATAAATACTTAAGCATACCCTGAGCCAAAATGAAGCAAGTGGTTTGTACCCAAGATGACCTTACTGTCTGCATGGCAGTAGATTCTTATTTTTGAATATTGACTACACCTGTGTAAGACAGCTAGTAGCTTGCCATTAGACATATTTGAGTAGTCAGAATAGCAATTTGTTTGATGATGCTGAGTAACAGATGATTGACTATTTCCTTAATGTCTTACTTGAATACAAAATAACATTCTCACCTTTTTGATTATGACCAGTCTCCCGCCCGCCCCTTAAATTTCAGGTCTCATTGTCCATGAAGGAGCTGCAGTTTACAGAGTGTTTAAGCGCTGGCGAGCTGTCAACTTACACTGGGATGTATTAAATTATGACAAAGCCACAGACATCGAAGAAAGTAGCCGGGGAGAGTCTTCCACGAGCAGGACTTTATGGTTGCCATTGACGGCTCTGCGGAACAGGAACTTGGTCCACCCAACCCAGTTGACCTCCCCAAGGTTTCAGTGTGGCTACGTGTTATTACATCTGTTCAATCGAATGAGGGCCCATGAGGATTTGTCAGAAGACAACAGCTCGGGGGAGGTTGTGATGAGAGTGACTTCAGTGTGACAGAGCTGAGAAGGTGTGGTGTGGACCACCCTGCACATTTTGGAATGTAATTGCAATGAATGGCAAAACCATAGCACTTCTAAAAACACACATCTATGAACTTTTTAAAATTTATGCTTTTTATATGAACATTTGAATTGCAAATACATTTTTCTGAAAAAAAGAGTCCTCCTGTTCTTTGCTTTCTAATTTATCACATCTTTTATAAGTTGGTACTTGAAATCATTATACGTATTATTTAACTCTACTTGGTTAAAAGAATGATAAAAGTTATACTTAAGGTCAAAACTATTTTTTCTTGCTTGTTTTAAATATATTTTTATCAAACGTCTTGCTCCATGTGTAATTTTTCAGGCATGCTATGAATGGGGAAGAATTTAGAATGCTGTGGGAAAATTTCCAAAGTGCCCGTCAAGGACAAAGCAAAACATCCTCTGTGATGCTTGCACTAGTCCTCCTTGTGCTTCCGGCTGCTTGTCAATCTAAGTGTGACTTTTTTGTGTGGGATCAAACTGTCACCAGGAATGCAAGTCTTAGGAATTATGGCTTGTTTTTTAACTTCTAAAATAGTTCAGAGAGCTTATAAAAATACAGATGATTGGAATAAAAATAGTCTTACAGACATACTTCAAAGATACTGCAGGTTCCCCTCCAGACATGCAATAAAGCCAATATCACAACAAAGCAAATCACTCAAATTTTTTGGTTTCCCAGAGCATATAAAAGTTGTTTACACTGTACTGCAGTGTGTTAAGCGTGCAATAGCATTAGTTCTTAAAAAAAAAAAAGTGTACTTACTTTAAAAATCTAAATAGTGCTAGCCATCATCTGAGCCTTCAAGCTATAATAATAACTTCAAAGATCACTGATCCCAGATCACCATAACAAGTATAATAATGGGAAATTTGAAATATTGCAAGAATCAGCAAAATATGACACAGATACATGAAGTGAGAAAATACTATTGTGAAAATGGTGCCAATGACTTGCTCCACACAGAGTCACCCTAAACCTTTGATTTGTAAAAAAATGCAATGTCCATAAGGCACAATTTAAAAAAGAAATGAAGTGCAGTAAAACAAGATATGCTTGCACTAGCAGGTTACATAGACAGGGCACCCTGCCTACTTAATAACTGAAAAAGCTCACCAAAACTTTGCATCTTGAACATGTAATAATAACACTGCCTCACATTTCCTTAACCCTCTCATAGACCAGCCACAATTATATTTGTTAATTATTAGTATCTTGATTTCTGTTGAGTACCATCTTAATTAGATTTTGTTTTTGTGAGAGCTTATATACCTACTTAATCATTTAAACACTGATTCTGTTACTTGGTTTAATGAAGTCCTGGGGAATATATTCTCCAGCAGTGAGAAGTGGTTCTCTTTTACTAGATAAGTATTTTTCAAGAGAAAAGAGGAAAAGAAAAATGAATCTCTTGACTCCCCAGGAACAGGTTGCTAAGTAGAGATACTGGAGATTTTCCACCTTTTTCTCCTCCTCATGGAAGTAAATGGCACATTTTAACAGGTAATGACAGAATAGATGAGGAGGCAGGTGGTCCTGCTTTCATTGGAAATGAGATGAATAGGGTAGGTCATTTGAAGTAACTGGTGGTGAGATTTTTAAAGCACATGAAATCAAATGCTTTACATTCTATTTTCTAAAAATAACTTTTGAATGATTCATAATAGAACAGTGAACATTTACAGGTATCCTTGTGATTCATACATCAAAATATGACACAGATACATGAAGTGAGAAAATACTATTGTGAAAATGGTGCCAATGACTTGCTCCACACAGAGTCACCCTAAACCTTTGATTTGTAAAAAAATGCAATGTCCATAAGGCACAATTTAAAAAAGAAATGAAGTGCAGTAAAACAAGATATGCTTGCACTAGCAGGTTACATAGACAGGGCACCCTGCCTACTTAATAACTGAAAAAGCTCACCAAAACTTTGCATCTTGAACATGTAATAATAACACTGCCTCACATTTCCTTAACCCTCTCATAGACCAGCCACAATTATATTTGTTAATTATTAGTATCTTGATTTCTGTTGAGTACCATCTTAATTAGATTTTGTTTTTGTGAGAGCTTATATACCTACTTAATCATTTAAACACTGATTCTGTTACTTGGTTTAATGAAGTCCTGGGGAATATATTCTCCAGCAGTGAGAAGTGGTTCTCTTTTACTAGATAAGTATTTTTCAAGAGAAAAGAGGAAAAGAAAAATGAATCTCTTGACTCCCCAGGAACAGGTTGCTAAGTAGAGATACTGGAGATTTTCCACCTTTTTCTCCTCCTCATGGAAGTAAATGGCACATTTTAACAGGTAATGACAGAATAGATGAGGAGGCAGGCGGTCCTGCTTTCATTGGAAACGAGATAAATAGGGTAGGTCATTTGAAGTAACTGATGGTGAGATTTTTAAAGCACATGAAATCAAATGCTTTACATTCTATTTTCTAAAAATAACTTTTGAATGATTCATAATAGAACAGTGAACATTTACAGGTATCCTTGTGATTCATACAGAGCCAATTCTACTAAAAGTTGAAATAATATTTTCCCAGTTAATAAAAAAGCTGCATCACAAATGAGTTAAAGGGGTGACCATTTGCAGAAACGTGAAGAAAAAATCAGGAAGTCGTGAAAGAAGGAAAATTAAACTACTCTTTCAGGACAGATCTAGAAAGTGAGAGGATCTAGGAAGTGTTGACTGTTTGCACCCGATGTTACAGGAGCACAATCCCGGGTGAGGCACCAAAGGGCAGCGATCAGTCCTGTCCCCCTGCTCTCTGCCCTCGGTCTTGCCACCTGGGACAGAAAAGAAGAATGTTTATTTAATAGTGAAACCAGGGGTACAAACTTGCTGGCAAAGCAGCAATCCATGACTTGTGCCCGTGAGGGTGGGCACTTTAATCACCAAGGGAGTCTTCAATGGCACCACATTTAATGCAATGTGCTCCTGTTTAATTTAATTAAACACACATTTAATTTTGGGTGCTGTTGTTTACAGCATGATGGTAAAAATACTGGATCAAGAGACTGTAAACACAAGTGAGACTATCACTGCTCCACCCTTTGTATACATACCAACCTTTGTATTCATATCAGCTTCCCCCGAAAAGGAGGAGGAGGAGAGGATGGGAGACTCTTTCCGTAACCCTGCATGGAGTGCCAAGGCTGAGGCACCTGGAGATGACAAGGTACAGAGGGTCTGTCAACCGGAAAGGAAGATTCACCCCAGCCTCCCCTCCTTCCCACGGCCTTGCCCTGTGGACACCCATTTTTTCCATACCTTCAACTTCCCTCACCATCTTCACAGGCCCCAACTCCTGACACACTCCCATACCCATACATGACCCAAATCAATGCTGGAAAAGAATGTGGCAGAATTTCCATTCAACAAAATGTTTGGTCCCTGAAATGATTACATAGAAACTCAAATTACTCTGGGTGGAAGGTGGGGTGGGTGCATTGAGAGAACTGAACTTTCTGTTTCAAAATGAAAATTCGATGGATTTCCCTGGTGGTCCAAGCTTCCACTGCAAGGGAACAAAGACCCCGCATGCCATGTGGGGTGGCCAATAAATAAATAAATAAAAATTCTAATATGCTGTATCAGTTGTGAACTTCCATGATGATTCAGATGGTAAAGAATCCACCTGCAATGCAGGAGACCTGGGTTCAATCCCTGAGTCAGGAAGATCCCCTGGAGAAGGGAATGGCAACCCACTGCAGATATAAACAATTAATTTTCAATTGTGAATGCTGTAATCCAAGCTAAGGCTGTCTTAAATTTCAAAACCACTCATGGTAGAAAAAGAAAGTTGGAAATATTTAAAGAGTATTTTTAAATATATATAAATCTAGACCTGTATCCAGTCTGTCTATTTTCAATCAATAATCTGCAATACAGACATTGATGGGGCACCTTCTATGTGCCAGACACTGGGAGCCACAGTTGTGGAATGACCCAGGTTCGCAGGGAGACACACCACATGATATGGGTCAGGGTCCAGGTGAATGAAAGGCAGTGGCAGGCCACAGGAGCAGTCAGGTTTCCCTGGGGCAACCGAAGAACGCACTACTGAGGAACTGGCAGGACCTGAGCACTGAGGCATGAGCAGAAGTTTGCCAATCAGGTAAGTGGAGAAGAACAGCTTGGCGGTAAAACAGAGCATGTCCCAGTAATAGTGAGAGATCTCACATGAGGGAGTGTAGGGTACATCTGGAAAGGTGATACAACCTGTTGATTTGGGAAAAAAAAGCACAACCTGAGACTTTTGAGTTAAGCTTTTGGGGGGCAAAATGAGGACTGCAGTCCAGGAGATAGCACCCCAGATAGCTCTGAGAGGCTCCTCTAAAGAGGTATGGGGCAAGGACAGTATATATGTGATTTTGCTGAAGGGGGAATACATGCAATCAGGGCTTCCCAGGTGGTGACTCAGAGGTAAAGAATCTGTCTGAAATGTGGGATATGAGCAGAAGATGTGGGTTCAATCCCCTGGTTGGGAAGATCCTCTGGAGGAGGAAATGGCAACCCACTCCTGTATTCTTGCCTGGAGAATCCCATGGACAGAGGAGCCTGGTGGGCTACAGTCCATGGGGTTGCAAAGAGTCAGACACAACTGAGTATGCACTATGTACGTGCAATCAAGCACTTTCTTTTTTTGGTGGAAAGTTTCTGTTGGTCTGTGAGGCTTCTGCTAGTCATGGAAAAACAGTCACCACTGTGAAGGGTGTCAGTGCTTTTCTCTATATGAGGAGACACAAGAACTGGGCTCATAGAACTCATAAAATCAGCTCTTGAGATTATCTATCTGAAGACCCGTCCTGCCAGTTTTCCTGGAGCACAGAGTGCCTCATTTCTTCTCTCCACCCTGAACTCTTTCAGGGGGTGTTGGAGGTCAGCAGCTGCAGCAGCACATGATTCAATCCTTGTGGAGGCAGATGGCAAGCACCCAGGGCAAGTGCCAATTTGTGGTTGACAAACCCTATGAGATTTGACTAGGTAGCTGGGACTGAATCCCGCGGGGACCAATGAGAACATGGTGCTCAAGCATCAGGGGCTAAAAGCCGGCAAGGTCAACTTTGGGGGGATAACTATCCTCTCTTGACCTCGTAACTATGGGTAACACTCCC